AATGTATTGCATATTGCTAAGGTAAATGAACTAATCTGAAAAGGTCACATGCTATATGATTCCCACTACATGACATTCTGGAAAGGCAAAACTATGATACAGTAAAATGATCAATGGTTGCCAAAAGTTCAAGGGGAGGGTGGAAAAGAAGGCTAAATAGGTGGAGCACAGAAAATTTCTAGGACAGTGAATCTATTTTATGTGATACTGTAATGATGGATACATGTCATTATACATTTGTCAAAACCCACAGAAGGCAGAGCACAAAGAGTGAGCCATAATGTAAACTATGGACTTTAGTTAATAATAACATATTATTATTGCCTCATAAATTGTAACAAATGTTCCTCACTAACACAATAATTCAAAAATAGGGAAAAATGAGGAGAAGTGGTGAGAGAGTATATGGAAAATTTTACAATTTTTCTGTAGATTCAAAATTGCTACAAAAATACTCATTAAACAATTGTGGTATGCAATCAAACAATATTTACAGGTGAATTTCTAGAACTGAAGCCTTTTGTTGGAAAAAAGATTTTAGATCAACAATCTAAGCTTTTACGTTAAGAAACTTGAAAAATTGAGACAAATATACTAATATTAGCATAATAAATCTAGTAACATAAAAGTGTAATGCATCGTGACCAAGTGGGGTTTATGCCAGCAATGTATGGTTTATTCAGCATTCAAAAATCAATCAATGCAAATGAACCATATCAATAGACTAAAAGAACACTACATTATTATTTTAATGGATGCAAAAAAGCCTTGAAAAATGCAGCATCCTTTCATAATAAAAACTTCCAGTACCCTAATATTCAACAGAAACTTCCTCAACATGATAAAGAACATCCATAAAAACTCATACAGCTAGCATCATACTTAATGGTGAATGAATGCTTTCCCGCTAAGATAGATAAGACAGCCAGATGTATTCTCTCATCACTCCAATTCAACATTACTACTAGAGGTCCTAAACAGTGCACTAAGACAAAAAGGAAGAAAACAGTAAAAACAAACAGATTGAAAAGAGAAGAAATAAAACTGTTTTTACTCACAGACTGACATGAAATCCCTAAGGTACATATAAATAAGCTACTGAAACTCACAATAATTTTAGACAGTTCTCAAGATCAAAGGTCAATATACAAAAACCGACTGCATTTCTACAAACTAACAGGAAACAAGTAGAAACCAAAACTTAAAGACTAGGACTATTATAACAGAATTTTACAAATCACTAAATTCTTAGGAACAAATCTAATAAAATATACCCAGAATTTGTAGGCTGAAAAGCGTAAACCACTGAAGAGAAAAATCAAAAGAGACCAAAATGGAAAGATATACCATCTTCATCCATCAGAAGTCTCAATTTTGTTAAGATGTCAATTCTCCCCAAACTGATTTATATATAGATTCAAAGGCCTCCAAATCAATATTTCAGCAAGCTTCTTCTTAAATAAATTGACAAATTGTCTTTAAAAATTTCAATGTAAAGAACAAAGGGCCAATAGTATCAAAATATTTTTGAAAAAGAAAAATAAATTCAGGGAATTGACACACTGCCTGATTTCAAGACTTACTATAAAGCTACGATAATTAAGACAAGGTAAGTATTGATGAAAGGATTAATAAAATCAACGAAAACAAAGAGTCCAAAATAACCTACACCTACTCTTTTCAACAAGAGGGCCAATATAATATAATGAAGAAAGGATAGTCATTTTAAGAAAGGTGCTAGAAATTGGATATCATGTGTAAATATATGAATGCTGACTGATACTCCACACCATACACAAAAATCAGCTCAAAATAAATTTATCCCTAAATGTAAAACCTCAGACTATAAAATCCATCCTAGAAAATATGGAAGAAAATCTTTGTAATTCACTAGGCAAAGATTCTTAAGCACAACACCAAATGCATGAATAATGGAAAAAAAATTGACAAATTATAGATTATGTTCACAGCTTTTGCTCTTCAAAGTACACTGCTATGAGAATGGAAAGCCAAATCATAGACTGGGAAAAGTATATTTGCAAATACATATCTGCTAAAAGACATATTCTGTGTATATTTAAAAAGCTCTTAAAACTCAATTAATGGAAAACAAAATCCCTAATGATAATTGGACAAAAGATTTGAACAGAAACTTTACTGATGTTTTCTCTATACCAAAGAAGAGGCAGGGATAGCACATATACACATGATAAGTTGTTCAAGATTATTATTAGTAATCAAAAAACAGATTAAATCCATGCTAAACTACCAGTACACATCTATTGGAAAGATTAAACTAAAACAAAAACAAAAACTCTGGTAATAAATACTAAGTGCTGGCAAGGAGCTAAACAATGACACTCATAAATTTTTATATTTATATTATCATTGTAATGTAATTTTCTTAGATACTGTCTTTTCCACCACCTTTGCTGATGAAAAGGGCAGTTCCTAAAAAGTTAAACACACCGGGCATGGTGGCTCATGTCTGTGATATCAACACTTGGGAAGGTCGAGGTGGGCGGATCACGAGGTCGGGAGTTCAAGACCAGCCTGACCAACATGGTGAAACCCGTCTCTACTAAAAATACAAAAATTAGCGGGCATGGTGGTGTGTGCCTGTAATCCCAGCTATTACGGAGGCTGAGGCAGGAGAATCTCTTGAACCCGGGAGGCTGAGGTTACAGTGAGCTGAGATCACGCCAGTGTACTCCAGCCTGGGGACAGAAAGAGACTGTGTCTCAAAAAAAAAAAAAAAAAAAGTTAAACACATGATTAGCAATTCCACTCCTGGGAGAATGAAGGCAAATGTCCATGTGGCTAAATATATTTGAATGGTGTGGCAGATTTTATACTTACCAAATCTGAAAACAGACCAGATATCTATCAACCAGTGAATGAAAAATTAATGGTACATACATACCAGCAATAGGATACTGTTAGGTAGTAAAGAGGAAGCAATGGCCGATCCATGCAATACCGATCACTCTCAAAAGCACTGTGGCAAGTGAAAATAGGACCAAAAAGGCGAAGGGGCAGCTGCAAAAATTCAACATTCATATCTCTTTCAGGAGCTTCTGCTTCGGGGATCATAATCCACTGGCAGCCTCTGTGTGGCCCTTTTGGATCCGTCCTCAGGTTCACGCTTGTTACCTGAGAAAAAACTTAAATTTGCTTTGGAATACAACTACTGCAGATTTGACATTCTGCATTTAGAAATGGAAAAAAAATCTGTAAGGAAAGTAACTGACTATTTCTCTCTACTGAGAATAATTTGAACTTTTAGCCTCTCACTGAAGTTAATCACACTTGATCTCTTGAGGAAAAAAATGCTTTTAACATGAAAAAATGCTCCACTGAGATTTATCAAACTCTATTTTAATTGTAATTGATTTATACCAAAAGATAAAATGAGTTAATCAGGGCATGCTATTAGAAATACTAGCATGGGAAGAAAGCAGGGAGGTCGTAGGACTGGAGAGGTGGGGACCCTGAGAGGTGGTGGTTCAGAGACTAGGCGACGGCGCGAGACGAGGCCGGTAGGTGGTGGGAGGCGGCCAGGCCGGAGCCAGCGGGAGGGCCAGGACCGGAGGTCGTCACCCTGCGGTGCCCACCCCGGCCCAGGCCACCCGCGGCTGAGGAGGTGGAGTAGGAGCAGGAGGAGGAAGAGGATCTCCAGATACACTCGGAAGGCAGTGTCACAGAGCTTGGAGCTGAAAGGAATAACAAAACATGCTCTTAACCATCATCCCTCTCCCAAGAAGCTGGAGGAAATTTCCCCGTCAGTGACAGTCATGAGAAAGACACAAGTTCCCAAAGCGAGTCTGACATCACAAGAGAATCACCTTTTACATCAGCCGACGCTGGGAATTCACTCTCTGCTTTTCCGTTATACAGGCGCAGGGATATCTACTGAAGGCAGCTCGGACTTCTCCTGAGGATATGGTGAACTCGATCAAAATGCCACTGAAAAAGCCTAGGCAATGTTCACAGCCGTCGATGAACTCTTGTATGAGCAGAAGTTGAGTGTGCATACCAAGAGTCTACAAGAAGAGTGCCAACAGTGAATAGCTAGCTGTCCTCACCTCAGGATTCTAGGTAGGCAGACAATCACTCCAAGTGAAGATTATAGATTGTATCCTAGATCCCCTTCTGCTGTTTCAGCTTCATATGAAACAACCTTGTCTCAAGAAAGAGATTCTACTATATTTGGTATAAGGGGAAAGAAGTTACGTTTTTCATCTTCGTATGCTCATAAAGCATCTTCTATTGCCAAATCCTCCAGCTTTTGTTCTATGGAAAGAGACGAGGAAGACTCTATAATCATCTCGGAAGGAGTAATTGAGGAATACCTAGCATCTGATCACACAGATATGGAAGAGGAATTTCATGGGAAGAAATCAGGAGCAACTACAGAGAAACAGAAATGAGGGTATCCTCCCATTGCTCCATTTTACTGTGTGAAAGAAGATGTCCTTGTTTATGTGTTTGACAATGTATGGAGCAAGGTTGTGAGCTGTATGGAACAGTTGACACGTAGTCACTGGGAAGGATTTGCCTCTGATGATGAGGGTAATGTTGCAGTTCCCAGACCCGATTCAGAAAGTTCTTGTGTGCTGAGTGAACCACATCCTTTGGTGTTACCGTGAGTGCCACAGTCTAAGGTACTGTCCCTTACTTCAAATCCAATGAGTCTCTGTGAAGCAAGCAGTCATCAGCCAAATGTGAATGGTCTCTTGGTTCATGGGATGCCTCTACAGGCAAGAAATAGCTCCCTAATGGACAAGCTCCTAGATCTTGATGACAAGCTACTTCTGAGGCCTGGTTCCAGTACCATCCTTTCAATTCGAAGTTGGCCAAATCGAGCTGTGGAGTTTAGTACATCATCTCTGTCATACACAGTTCAGTCCACCAAGAGAGGCAATCCATCGCCACGAACCTTTCAGCCGATCAGCACAAGGCATTCACATGCTGGAATACCAAGACGTGTGGAAGAAATCCTTAGAGGAGCCCCAGTCCCTGTGGCAGCGGAATGAAGTGGCACAGCTGAAGTGGAACATGTGAGTACTGTGGGGCCACAAAGACAGACGACGCCCCATGGCGACTCCAGTCGAGCTCCAAGTGCGGTGGTGGATGAACCTAACTATCAGCACCCACTTTGGGAGGCCGGGGAGGGCAGATCACGAGGTCAGGAGATCGAGACCATCTTGGCTAGCACGGTGAAACCCCGTCTCTACTAAAAATACAAGAAATTAGCCAGTGTGGTGGTGGGCACCTGTAGTCCCAGCTATTTGGGAGGCTGAGGCAGGAGAATGGCATGAACTGGGGAGGCAGAGCTTGCAGTGAGCCGAGATTGCACTCCAGCCTGGGTGACAGAGAGAGGCTCCATCTCAAAAAATAAAAATAAAAAATAAAAGAACGGCTCCTTTTGGCCGACTTTTTCTCAGGCCCAACACAGCTCAATCATTTTTGGTAGAGTGACCTACTTCCTAGAATGGTCTTGATAGTTGGGGAGAGAAAAGGTAGGGGGAATACTACTTTGGCAGACTTAAAACTTTATCTAGAGGCTTAACTCAGAATAAAAGTTGAGTTTCCAACAACAACAACAAAAATACTAGCAAGGGAATTCAGTTGATACGACTAGCAATGAGCGGGTATGAAAGATTATTTTAAAATTTGGAACAAAATAAATTTTAAATTGTTTATTTTTGTTTTAAAAATTACTTAGAAAATAAAACTACCTAGGCCTATATGGATTAAAATTTTATTCTTTTACATAATACTTTCCATACCCAGAGCATATCATTTTCTCTTAAAATATACACCAAGTACCACCTGTACTTTGGTCAATGACAACCATTATTCATTTGACACAGGGAATTCTGCCTTGGTTTGAGCCATGTCTCTGCACACAGGAGAAATTGCTTATTTACAATTGCTACTCAACTGCTACAGCAGCAGGAAGGGTGCCTCGGTGTGTTGTTATCCTTATTTCTCTGGGTTTTCACTCTTCCTTAATTGTTTCCCAGGTACCCATTTTTATTTCTAGGGAACCAGGCATTGCCAGGAAGGGCAAAGCCTAGGCCCCATGGTTTTAGGACTGAAGGACTTCATGGAGGCAGAATCATTCCAGTATAGCAATCCCGACAACACCATTTCTTGATTTTCCCCCCCAGGCATAATAAACACCCTGAGATAAGTGAAAAATGATTAGAAATAGCAGCAAAGAGATGATGGTGAAGAGGAACTATTTAAGAAATAATGAACAAGATTTAATAGAGACACTGATATCAGATTGAACATATATCCATATCTAGATATACTGAGTGAAATCTAATGGCTTCAAAGACAGAACTATAAAATTATTCAAAAAGGAAAAGCAGAATGTCTACAAAGGAATAAGGAACAAGTTGATAACAGACACCGCAACAGGTATCCTGGAGGCAAGGGCATAAGAAATCAATATTGGAAGATTGAAACTTACATTTTATTACATTTTTATTTTGTGTGTGTGTTTACTGTAATTTATTCAACAAATCCTATAACCCTATTTGCCAGTGATGAAGTGAGTTTGGCCAGTCATATCAGCAGAGAAGAACATGAAACAGTGGCAAGAGCACAGAATTTAGTGTCAAAATAGTTGCGTTCAAATCTTTGCTAGACCGCTTCATAGCCATGTCACTTTGAGAAGGTCACTTACCAAATAGTTATAGACATGAGGGATTGTTGGACATAATTCTTGCCCTAAAGAATCTCTTACAAACTACTTAGGAGAAAAGATATACATGCATATAGTGGAAAACAACACAACACGGGATTGCTAAGTAATAAAATATATAAAAGTGTCCCTATTCTATAGATAAAACAACCGAGGGGTGCTATGTGTGGTTAACAAAGATAATCATTGTTGATTGTATCTATTTCTCTTGGATGTTCAAATTTTATAATTCGTTTTTAACATTTCATATTTAAACATTACAAATGAATATAGAAGAAATATAAACAATATTTTAAAAGACAAAATATCTCTTGAGCTCATTATTTTGAAGACTGTATAACTAAGACTGGGTAAGATGAATATAAGAAAAGGAAATTACAAGCCCAATAAAGCAATATTTGAATCTACCATGAACAAATGCAATTTATCCTAGAAACTTAAGGATAGGACGTTTGAACAAAAGACAGTCTTACAATGCAATTCATCATTAATGGCCTCATGAAAGAACCATGATTACTTTTAAAAAGCAGAAAAAAGTATATGCTAATAAGTTCTTCTTAACACAAACCTATAGAAAATATTACTTTTAAGAAACTTCAGAAACATTTTCTTAAAAGTCTGAAACAAGATGAAGATTCTCTGCTGTTTTTCATTTTGTATTAGAGGCACTAGATATAAAAATAAGAACAGAAATAAAAAGAAGCTGTATAAGGGATATTATTTTTGTAACATTTACCGGTAATTCCAAGAATCATTGATAAACTATGGGAACTAATAAGAGAGAGAATCGGCCGGGTGCGGTGACTCATGCCTGTAATCCCAGCACTTTGGGAGGCTGAGGCAGGCAGATCACAAGGTCAGAAGATCGAGACCAACCTGGCCAACATGGTGAAACCCACCCCGTCTCTACTAAAAATACAAAAATTAGCTGGGCATGGTGGTGTGCACCTGTAGTCCCTGCTTCTTGGGAGGCTGAGGCAAGAGAATCACTTGAACCTTGGAGGTGGAGGTTGCAGTGAGCCAAGATCATGCCACTGCACTCCAGCCTGGTGACAGAGGGAGACTCTGTCTCAAAAAAAAGAGTGTCTAGCTAGATAGTTTGATTACAGATCTACAGATCATAGTCAACATTTGTCCATTATCCTAGAAATAAAAGATGAGAAAAAGTAATAGTAAATAAAATACTATTTAAAACAGAAAAAGGTCACAAATGACCTAGGAATTAATTATACAAGTAATGAACAAGACTTTTATAGAGAAATTTAAAACTGCTTTAGAGGACACAGCATCATATAAACGGAACTACACTATCATGCTCAGAAAGACACAGCAATGTTGTAAAGGTGCTCCTATGTCTGAATTAACCTGTAAATTCAATGCAGATGGAAAAATAATTTTTAGGAAACCTTGAAAATTTACTTAAGATTCACATGAAGTAATAGAAATTATGAAAATATTTCAAATTTTTGAAAAAGAAGAACAAGGCTGTAGGGCTGTTATGTGGGGTGGAATCAGCTGCGCTGTCTAGCACAGCCTAGTACAAAGCCGTGAAAGTGGCTTTCTTTCACAAAAGAAAGTGCAGAAAGGATGCTACATTCAGAACTGAATCCTGGAACAGTTTTGAGTCCAGAAGCAAATCCATGTGCATAGGACTTTGGTATATAGTTTAAAAATAAACAGTAAAATTAATGAAGAAATGGAGCACTTTATAAATACTGCTGGGAAAAATTAACTCATTATAGATAACTATACCATATATAACAACTGTAAGTGGATTGGGCCTTAAAGTGAAATTTAAGATTATACAATTGATAGAAAGGAACATAGGAAAATATTTTATTACCCTATCTTTTAAACAAAACTCAGAGAGTAAAGCACCAAGGGAAAATTAATGGATGTGACTAAATCACAATTAAATATTTTATTCAATGAAGGCCATCACAGGTAAAGGTAGTAGACAGATAAATGACCAGGAATAGTGTTTTTTATGTCTACATCTGTCAAGTGATAAACATCTATTATATATGTAAGTATACCGTAACGCATAAAGGAATAATGGGCTGAGGATCAGAATGGACAATTTGCAGAAAGGTAAAGCCAAACATCTAATGAGTGTGTGAAGGACCTACTTCACTAGTAACTAGAGAAATGGAATTGAAGCAACTGAGAGATACCATTTGTTGAAATTGTGAAAGTTGGGTATTCTGGAGAGTTGATGGAGTGAAGCTAAACAATGTTGCTTGTGGGGATATAAATTGATGTAGCCATTTTAGATAACAATTGGCACTATTTATTGAAACGAAATGTAGATATGTGTTATAATTCACTTGTCTCATCCTTGGTTTTATACTCCTAAGAAACTCTCATATATAACATAAGAAAATACATATGGGGATGTCATCCAGCATTTATTTCTTTTTAAGGGAAAGAGTTAGAAATAACCTAGGGGTTTGTCAATAGGATGGCAAGTATGCTTTACAGCATAAGATCAATAACCTAGGTGTTCATCAATAAGATGGTAAATATCTTACCCATAAGATGGGGTATGTTTATGATGCAATACTATACTGCAGACACAATGAAACTGACATGTAACAACGTGGGGGAATCTTAAAAATATAATTGCATGAATGAGGAAACGCAACTAAATAGATATCAAAATACCATTTATGTAACTTCACAAGCACAAAAATACTTTTTCTTCACGAACACAATGTAAGAAATGAGGTGTGGAGGGAGATACATTAAATCCATGAGAGGGTGCTCACAGGGGAAATGTGAATGGGATACCGAGTGCTTGGGAGCCTGTTACTGATTCTTCAGACACCAGGGTTATGGACTTTGTTAATATTCCTGCTTCCCCTCTGGACGCAACCGTTTTCCATATGACAACTCAGTGTCTTTGACTCATTCTGTTAGAAAAATAAGGGCGCAGGAAAATAAGTTTTAAAACTGTTATTTTAGATTCATGCGTCCATGTGCAGGTTTTCAAAATTTTAGGTTCCTGGGTTCATGTCCCAATTTGTTCAGGGGTACATGTCCAGATTTGTTCAGGGGTACATGTGCAGGTAAACCTGTGTCACGGAAGTTTGCTCTACAGATTATTTTGTCACTCAGATACTATGCCAACAGATTTTTTTTTTTTTATCCTCTCCCTCCTCCCAACTTTCACTCTCAGGTAGGTCCCCAGTGTCTGTTGTTTCTCTCTTTGTGTCCATGTGTTCTCATCATTTAGCTCCACTTGCGAGAACATGTAGTTTTTTTTTATTATTATTTTTACATTAGTTAGTCCTAAGAATAATGGCCTCCAGCTGCATCCATGTTCCTTCAAAGGATCTCGTT